GAATCACATCATATGACATCCGTTTCTTACCAAATTTTACAGGCTCAACTTAAATCACACTTAAGACCTGTACCAGGCTCCGAAACAAAAATACGGGCCCGATACCATCAAATTCCAAACATATTTCATTTCCAAAAACTCATATATATTCCAAAAAATAATTTTCTTTAAAAATTCATTTCTCGAGCTTGGGACCTCAGAATTCGATTCCGGGCATACGCCCAAGTTCCATATTTTCCTACGGATCCTTTGGGACCGTCAAATCACGGGTCTGGGTTTGTTTACCCAAAATATTAACCGAAGTCAACTTAGATTCATTTTAAAGGCAAAATTTATCATTTTTCACATATTTTCACATAATGGCTTTCCGGATACGCGGTCGGACTGAGCATGCAAATCGAGTTGGGACAAAAAAAAGAGGTTTTTAAGGGTTCGAAACTCAGAATTTATTTCTAAAACAAGTGGATGACCTTTTGAGTCATCACAGGCATCATCCTCAAGTATAATATTGTGCATGCAAAAGGCGGGTCTTATCCCCCGAATATCTTCTAGAGTCCATCCAATTACGTTCTTCCTTCTTTGGAGCACCGCAAGGGTTGCATATACCTGCACGTTAGTCAAGCACGAAGAAAGAATAACATGTAAAGTTGAATAAGGGCCTAAGAACTCATACCTGAGGTGTGAAGGCAAAGGTTTTAACTCCAATATGGGAGGTTCCTCGATTGAGGGCTTTGTTTGTGGAGTCTTTCTGTTCTCAAGGTCCAAGGAAAGTTTTCGGTGCTCGTATGTGTAAGAACCCATTCCTTTCAAAGCATTGACATATTCCACCAAGCCTTTATCCTCAGTCACATCATGGTTCAACAACACAGCTTCCAAAGGTTCCTCCACATTTATCACAACATTGGTGTCTTCAACAATCACCTCGGTCACAAGATCCATAAAGGAACATACTTCATTACTATTGGGCCGTCTCCTTGATTTGCATACATGGAACACAACTTTTTCATCACCCACCCGGAAGGTGAGATCCCTTGCTTCCACATCAACCAAAGCCTTCCCTGTAGCTTGGAAAGGTCTCCCCAATATGATCGGCACCTCATAGTCAACCTTGCAGTTTAGAAACACAAAATATACGGGAAGTATGAACTTGTCGACCCGCACAAGCATATCATCTATAATCCCCAATGGCCTATTTATTGTCTTATCTGCCATCTGCAACCTCATTGATGTGGGCCTTGGTTTCCCAATCCCCAATGTCTTAAAAACATAATATGGTATCAAGTTAATACTAGTGAAAGCTAGGCAAGCCAACCATTTGAATTATTTACCTTTTTCCCATTTTTATTCCTTTAACAATTAAGAGCCAACATTATAATAACAACAGAAATTAAAAGCGGAAGACTGAAACGTAATATATTAATAAAGATGCCAATACTAATCCATATATAAACTACCCAAGGCCGGTGTCACAATTTCACAGACTGTCTAAGAATACTACAAATAAAGGTCTGAAAGAGTTATTACAATGCTGTCTCTGAAATACATAAAAAATAGAATAAAAGAATAGAAGGAGACGCCAAGGCCTGAGGATGCTTGTAGGACTACCTCGGATCTCCGAATGGACTGAAGGCAGCAACCCCAAAGCTAAGGTCCGAAAGCGGCTGCACCGGGATCTACACACAGTACAGAGTGTAGTATCAGCACAACCGACCGCATGTGCTGGTAAGTTCCTAGCCTAACCTCGGCGAAGTAGTGACGAGACTAGGACCAGATTACCCAATAGACCTGTGCAGTTGATGTGCCAGAGAATTTCGGCACATTTAATACAAATTGCTTAGATTTTAGCTTGTTTTAAATGCAATTATCTTTTATACTTATATAATTTCAATGTTTTTGCAGTGTATGAGGTTTAAGGACCTAAGAGCATGGACATAAAATCAAAAAGCCACAAAAGGACAAGAAAAAAGCAAAATGCGATCGCGGATGTGGAAATGCGGACTGCAAATCCAACATGTGGACCGCATAATGCTCAAAGGAATCACAAACCCCAATAGTTTGTTGGCCAAAGTCCAGTGCAAGAAATGCAGTCCAGTATGCGATCGCAGAACAGGTTTGCCAGTCGTATAATGGACCGCAAACTCGTTGTGAAAGCTGCTAAAGGTGGAAAATGCGATGAGAAATGCGATTGCATATCTACAATGCAGACCGCAGAACGTGAATGCGATGAATGCCTGGAAATTAGGGTTTGGAAATACGATGGCCATGAAGAGAATGTGAACCGCGTGTCTGTTATGCTACAGATATGTGGTTGCATAATTGACCTGGAAGGGTATTTTTGTTCGATTTTGGACCCGAGTTTTGACCCGCTATAAATAGATTTATTGGGGTTTTGTGGGGGCATCTTGTCTGGTTTTTGAGCTACAATCCAAGTCTTTAATATTCCTCTCTTTTGAAAGCTTTTGAAGGAAGAATCTTGCACTTTGTAAGCTTTATGGCATTAAATATTCTCATCCTTTTGTATTTTAGCATGTGTAGCTAACTTTAAATACTAAGGTTGTGGACCCTAAATGGGTGTTATCTTAATAGGTGTTTAACATTGAATATATGTATAATGGTTGATTGATATATATTTATTTCTCATTCTTCATTTATTGTTGGTGGTTGCAAACATTAACAAATGCCATTAAATTTCTTCTTTGCTTGGAAAAGTGAGTTAGAATTTGGTAGAAGTAAATATCAAAGACTCAAGGCTCTAAACCTTGTTAAATAGAATCGCTTAGGAATAAGTGGGTTTTATTTGGCATATATTATTGTTCTTAATTGCAACTCTGTTATATTTGGAAAAATCATAAAGAGGAAATACTACCCAACTATTGGAAAATATTTGGTAGTCATTTAGAAATCATTTTCATATCTAAAGAACCTTCCATATGAAATATATCATATTAACACCGATAGCATCACATTCCATTGAAGGGGACACAACCTTGGTTTCCTTAATCAAATTAATTACATTCTCAACATTACAATTAGTTATTTCTTCAAATCATAATTATATCACTCTCTTGTTACAATTAACCGAATAGAATTACAACTTAAGTCAAGTAACACACTACTCGAGTAACCTTTTCATGCCTATTCCCTGTGCGATTCGACCCCAACCTTGTTGGGTTATTATATTTGACACCGACCACCTTACACTAATTAATAAAAGTGTAATTTGTGCATATCAAATTTAGCGCCATTGCCGGAGAATACGGTTTTGAAATTACTAATTAGTGTGTGCTTTACTTTGCGTCTTCTTCTATTCCATCACACTTTGCTTGTTTTGCTTGGTGTTGATAGGAGAATATGGTTGAATATGAAGAAGAAATGGAAGAACAAATGGAAGAAAATCCTTTTGCGGACATAGATGAGTACATCGAGGATACAAATGCTATTGTACCTTCAGTTGTTGGTGCTGCAACTTTCAAGGTGGAACATAGTTTAATCCTTATGCTCAAAGCGGAGGGGTTTTTCAGGAATTCCATTGATGATGATCCGACACAACATCTTAGAAACTTCTTGGGTGTGTGTGCGATACATAAGCAGAAGAACGTCTCTGATGATGCCCTAAGGTTGAGGGTATTCCAGTACTCACTAGCTGGGGAAACAAGGAAATGACTTCAAAATATTCCACCAAACTCCATTCATTTTAGGTCTGAGCTTGTCCGAGCATTCTTAGCTAAATGGTTCCCACAAAGGAAGAAGTCTTAGCTCCGAGATAAAATTTTCTTTTTCAAACATGTACCGGGAGAACATCTACATTAGGCATGGGATCGATTCAAGTTATACTTGGTGAGGTCTCCCAATCATGGTTTTCCAGATTCTATTTTGTTGGAGAAATTCTACAAGGGTTTGGATCCTATAGCCAAGAATGTAGCTGATGGATCTTTAATGAATAAATCATTCACAAGGGTCACACAAATACTTGACAAAATGGCAAAACATAATCAACCATGGCACTCAGAAGACACTACAGGTGGAATTGCATATGGTTCTCCTTCCTTGACCACTATGATCAAGGAAAATCAAGAGAGAGATCAAGTGATTGTAGGGCTTGCCACAAATGTCAATGTGTTGACAGAGATGTTCACCGAAAACCAAACGAAGAAGGCAAATGTGGTGGAGGATGTGCAACCCATATCAAATGAAGACTTTGAGGAGGCAAACTATGTCAACAACTCTCAAGGAGGTTATCAAAGGCAACAATATCAAGGTCAAGGACAAAAAAACCAATGGAGGCCTCACCCGCAAGTGCAAGGCAACCAACAGTAGCGAAATGACAAAGGCGGCTCAAATCAAGGAAATCAGAATAACAACAACAACTTCTCAAATCGGAGTTCAAACCCTTATGTTCCTCCAAAGGGTCAATATTCAAATCAAGGTTACTCAAGTGATTCCAAGTTGGAAAGCATGCTTGAATGGGTATTGCAACATCAAGAGAAGTCTGACACTTCTATGAGGAACATGAATGAGCTTGTTGGCTCTCATACCGTATCCATTCAAAAATTGGAGATGCAAATGAGAGACCTCTCTAGGGAACAAAATCCAAAGCAAAAAGGGACACTTCCAAATGACACAATTGCGAACCCAGAGGGTAGTGGGAGTGGTCCAACTTCTCATGTCATGGCAATTACTACTCGGAGTGGGAAGGTACTACAAGGATGGAGTGAACAAGTGGTTGAAGTTGAAGAGTCCGAACAAGAGGTTGAGGTTGAAGAGCCAAGTGTTGTTGAAGTTGAAAAGGTTCCGGAAGAATTGAAAATGCAAGAAGAAAACTGAGAAAAGGTAAAGGAAAATGAAAAAAAGACACCAAAAACTCTACCACCTATTCCTAGACCTCCTCCTCCATTCCCTCAAAGACTTGCTAGGAAGGTTGATGATAGCAAACTCGAAAAGTTCTATGACATTCTCAAGCAATTATCGGTAAATATTCCATTTGTGGAAGCATTTCAGAGATGTTGGGTTTTGCTAAATATTTCAAAAACTTGATTGCCAAGAAAAGAACCACCAAGAATGAAGTGCTGAATGTGACTCACCGGGTTAGTTCCATTGCAACATCCACCGTTCAAAAGAAAGAAAACCCGGGAGCTTTCACTATTCCATGTACTATTGGGGCACATGATTTTGCAAGAGCCCTTTGTGATAATGGGGCTAGCATCAACTTAATGCCTCTTGCCATTTACAAGCAAGCAGGGTTAGGTATGCCAAGGCCAACAAGTCTGAGATTGCAAATGGCTGATCGTTCCATAAAGAGACTGGTGGGAATTGTCGATGATGTTCTTGTTAAAGTGGGAAAGCTTCATTTACCCGCCGATTTGATTGTGTGGTTGACAAAGAGATCCCTATCATTTTGGGGAGATCATTCCTAGCCACAGGAAGAGCACTAATGGATTTGGAACGGAATGAGACCAAATTCCGTGTGAATTATGAAGAGGTCACATTCCAAGAAAGCAAGGGTATGAAACTACCACATGAATATGAAAGAATCTCAGTGATTGATGTTGTTGATAAAGTGGAAGATGAGGTTGAAATAAAGATGGAAGAATAATGCCTCAGTAAGGAGTTGGCGGCTATTTTGGTAAACTTTGATGGTGAAGATATTGAAGGATATATGGAATCGGTCAATGCATTGGAGGGGCTTGGGTCGTACACTTATGCTTCGGCAAAGCTCTCTCTCGACTTGAAGAATAGAGCCACTCCTCCCGCAAAGCCTTCTATTATTGAGCCACCGCAACTAGAGCTCAAACCACTTCCACCACACTTGAGGTATAAATTTCTTGGTTCAAATGATACTTTACTGGTAATTATTTCTTCTTTGTTGAATGATGTGCAGGTAGAACAATTGTTAGAGATCTTGAAGGAGCATAGGCAAGCTATTGTATGGACAATTACGGACATCCGAGGGATTCCCGCCGGAATTTGCGAACACAAAATCCTATTGGAGAATGAGACTAAACCAAGTGTGGAGCACTAACGACGGTTGAACCAGTCCATGAAAGAGGTGGTAAAGAAAGAAATCATCAAGTGGTTGGATGCCGGGGTAGTCTACCCCATTGCTGATAGCTCTTGATTGAGCCCAGTGCAATGTGTGCCGAAAAAGGGAGGCATGACCGTGATTGAAAATGATAAAAATGAGATCATCCCACCAAGAACGGTGACCAAATGGCGGGTGATTATGGATTATCGGAAGCTCAATAGTGCCACATGCAAAGACCATTTCCCTATGCCGTTTATTGATCAAATGCTTGATCGGCTAGCGGAAAGGTCATTCTATTGTTTTCTTGATGGATATTTCGGTTACAACCAAATCAATATAGCATTGGAGGACCAGGAGAAGACAACATTCACTTGCCCTTATGGAACTTTTGCCTTTAGCCGGATGTCGTTTGGTTTGTGCAATGCTCCGGCTACTTTTCAAAGATGCATGATGTCCATCTTATCCAACATGGTGGAGGATTTTCTAGAGGTTTTCATGGACGACTTTTCGGTGGTAGATGACTCTTTTGAGCATTGTCTTAACAATCTTAGACAAGTGCTCAAGAGATGTGAGGAGACCAACCTTGTGCTTAACTGGGAGAAATGCCATTTCATGGTGGATGAACGCATTGTATTGGGCCATAAAATCTCAAAACATGGCATAGAGGTTGACCGGGCAAAGATCGAGATCATTTCCAAGCTTCCTCCACCTACTTCAGTTAAAGGTGTCCGAAGTTTCTTGGGGCATGCCGGATTTTATAGGCGTTTCATCAAGGATTTTTCCAAGATTGCAAATCCTCTGTGCAAACTCCTTGAGAAAGATGCAAAATTTGTGTTTGACAAGAAATTCCTCAAAGCCTTTGAGGAATTGAAGCAAAAGCTCACCACGACACCTATTATTGTCCCACCCGATTGGTCTCTTCCATTTGAACTCGTGTGTGACCCCAATGGTGTAGCTATTGGAGTAGTGCTGGGCCAACATCACAACAAGGTTCTTCACCCGTCTATTACGCAAGCAAGACACTCAATGGAGTGCAAATGAATTATACGGTGACTGAGCAAGAACTTCTTGCCATTATCTATGCCTTTGAGAAATTCTGGGCTTACTTGTTGGGATCCAAGGTGATAGTGTACACAGATCATGTTGCTCTTCGCTATCTTATGGCAAAGAAGGATGCAAAGCCTAGGTTGATTCGGTGGGTCCTGTTGTTGCAAGAGTTTGACTTCGAAGTCAAAGATAGAAAGGGGACTGAAAATCAAGTGGCGGATCATTTATCAAGGCTTGAAGAGGCAGGGAGACCAAAGGGAGATCTTGAAATCAACGATGCTTTCCCGGATGAACACATATTGGCACTATCTAGCACTTTTGCTCCTTGGTATGCCGATAGTGCTAACTACTTGGTTAGTGACCTTATTCCGGATGGATTGGAATCATATCAAAAGAAGAAGTTTTTGAAAGATTGTCGGCAATACAATTGGGAAGAACCATTCTTGTTCCGTGTTTGTGCTGACAACATCATCAGAAGGTGTGTTCCAGAAGAAGATATTATACCAATTCTAAAGGCATGCCATGACTCACCCGTTGGGGGTCACCATGGAGGAAATCGAACGGCGGATAAGGTGCTTGAATGTGGTTATTATTGGCTATAGATTTATCATGGTGCCAATCAAATGGTCAAGGCTTGTGACCAATGCCAAAGGCAAGGATCAATCTCCAAGAGGGATGAAATGCCAATGCACGTTGTGATGGAGATAGAAATCTTCGACGTGGGGGGAATTGATTTTATGGATCCCTTTGTAAGCTCTTGCGGGATGAAATATATCTTGGTGGCTGTGGACTATTTGTCCAAGTGGGTTGAATTAATTGACTTACCAAACAACGAGGCAAAGAGTGTGACCCCATTCTTAAAGAAAAACATATTTACGCCGTTTGGCAATCTTAGAGCCATTCTTAGTGATGGTGGGTCTCATTTCTGTAACAGGGCATTCACGGGGATACTAGAGAAATATGGCGTCAAGTAAGGTGTCCACACCTTATCATCCCCAATCAAGTGGTCAAGTTGAAGTTTCCAACCGGGAGATAAAGAACATTCTAGCAAAGATTATTAATGCAAATAGGACTGATTGGTCAAGGAAGCTAGATGACGCATTGTGGGCATACCGCACGGCGTACAAAACTCCTAATAGCACTTCTGAGTTATATTCAATAGTAATAGAAGTATATACAATTGGCCTCACCCCTTCCAGATTTGCCCTATGGGGGTTAACAAAAGCAGTATAAGAAGATATGATGGATGAATTGATTGCGTCAGTTNTCCAGAAACATCATCAAGAAGTACATCAAAAAGAATAAATTATACCACTTCACAAAAATTAATAGAACAAAAAATAGAAGAAATAAACCCACATCATTATTATATAACAGGAA